TTTAAATCCTAACCATATTACCTACACTGCTTTGATTGATGGGTTCATGAAACAAGGGAATATAGAAGAGGCATTAAGGATCAAAGACGAGATGGTCACTCGGGGACTTAAGTTGAACATTGTAACTTATAACACATTGATCAGGGGCATTGCTAAGGCTGGTGAGATGGAGAAAGCAATGGCTCTTGTCAATGAGATGTTTATAACTGGCATAGAATTGGATACTCAGACCTACGACTTGTTAATTGATGGATATTTGAAATCTCACAATAAGGACAAAGCTTATGAGCTACTAGCTGAGATGAAAGCAAGGAATTTGATGCCATCGTTGTACACTTATAGCGTGCTTATTAATGGTCTATGTCGTTCCCGTGAGCTGCCAAAGGCTAATGAAGTTTTGGAGCACATGATCAGCCACAGAGTGAAACCGAATGCTGTTATATATGCTACCCTGATCAATGCTAATGTCCAAGAAGGTAGATATGAAGGTGCAAAAGAAGTACTAAAAGGGATGGTAGCAAATGGGGTCGTACCGGATTTATTTTGCTATAATTCTCTTATAATTGGTCTTTGCAGGGCAAAAAAGGTGGAAGAAGCAAGAATGATGTTTGTTGAAATGGGTGAGAAAGGAATAAAGCCCAATGCATATACTTATGGAGCTTTTATTAGTTTATATTGTAAAACAGGTGAAATCCAAGTAGCAGAGAGGTATTTCCAAGACATGTTATCTTCACGTATAGTTCCTAACAATATAATCTATACTGCACTGATTGATGGGCATTGCAATGTTGGAAACACAGCAGAAGCTTTGTCAACTTTCAAATGCATGCTCGAGAAAGGATTGATTCCCGATGTTCAAACATACGGTGCACTGATTCATGGTCTCTCCAAGAATGGGAAAACCGAAGAAGCAATGGTGGTTTTCTCTGAATACCTTGACAAGGGCTTGGTGCCGGACGTGTTTATATACAACTCTCTTATATCTGGTTTCTGCAAGAAAGGTGAAATTGAGAAGGCATCCCTACTTTATGAAGAGATGCTTCTCAAGGGACCTAATCCCAACATTGTCATATACAATACCTTGATTAACGGACTGTGCAAGCTTGGTGAGATAAAGAATGCAAGGGAACTTTTTGACAAAATTGAAGGAAAAGGTTTGGTCCCTAATGTTGTGACTTATTCAATAATCATAGATGGATATTGCAAATCTGGAAACTTAACTGAGGCGTTTAACCTGTTCAATGAGATGATATCTAAAGGAGTTCCTCTCGACCGTCACATCTACTGTATCCTCATTGATGGTTGCTGCAAGCAAGGAAATTTGGAGAAGGCACTTTCGTTATTTCACGAAGCACTGCAGAAAGGTGTTGCTTCCCCTTCTGCTTTCAACTCTTTGATAGATGGTTTCTGCAAACTAGGAAAGTTGATTGAAGCCAGGGAGTTGTTCGATGATACGGTCGATAAACATGTGACACCGAATAGTGTGACATACACAATTTTGGTCGATGCCTACGGCAAAGCAGAAATGATGGAGGAGGCAGAGCAGCTTTTTCTAGATATGGGAAATAAAAATATCATGCCAAATACTCTTACGTATACTTCTCTTTTGCTCGGTTATAATCGGATAGGAAACAGAATCAAGATGATTTCTTTGTTCAAGGATATGGAAGCTAGGGGAATTGCTTGTGATGCAATTACCTACGGTGTGATGGCTGATGTCTACTGCAAGGAAGGAAATTCTCTTGAAGCCTTAAAGCTGCTCGACAAAAGCTTGGTTGAGGGTATAAAGTTGGATGGTGATGTGTTTGATGCATTAATATTTCACATATGCAATGAAGGAAAAAATTCTACTATGCTGAAGCTACTCGGTGAAATGGCCGAAAAGAAACTCGCTCTTACCTCTAATACATGTACTGCTCTGTTGATTGGTTTTTACAAGGCAGGTAATGAAGACAAAGCTTTAGAGGTTCTTGACATTATGCAAAGGTTGGGGTGGGTTTCAGATTCTTTAAACGTAGTTGATTTAGTAAATGCTAGGAAAAACGATATGAATTCTGAAAGCTTCCCGAGTGATGCAATGCAAGTAGGATCGGTGTAGTCCGATTCACACTGTCGTTTGGCTACTATCTGGCCTGGCGAAATCTGCATGAAAATGTGAAATGTCTCGTCATAAATGTACAATCTCTCGCCTTCTGTTCGGTCACCGAATCGAGAAACTCAATGCTGAAATGGAAGGAGAAAAATCTGCAGGCAACTCGTACTGAACCCGAGTTTTGTTTTCATTCCTCCTGTTGTTACACCTCAACACTCGTTGCAGGTCCATTTTTCTTTTCCATGCCCTCTCATCCTTCACAACTAGAAATGTATTTTTGAAGCACTATTTGCTGAATCAATATGGTTGCTTTCATGTCATGTTTTCTTGCATACTGATCGAAGTTTTCATCATCAATTTTGTTTTTAAGGTGTGCAACAAACGACTTCTGCTACTCGATCTTGGGCAGTCAATAAAAAATGGTGGTACGTGACAATATTACTCTGTTACTTCGGATTAGAGCAATGGTTCATAAAATATTAGCGGTATGCTTTGCTTTCATCAATATCTTGATATAATCTCTCGTGTTTTAAATGTTTTCTTGTTCTTAGATTTGAGCTGTCTTAAGCATAGATTTGAAGTGTGGGTTATTTTCTTGACTGCAGACATGAGAATTTTGAGCATTCTATCTCAAGTAGCAGTTAAAATGGTCATCAGAGGGATTCCAAGTTAGACACTTAAAATATAGTACAGAAAGAAGAAAGAACCTAACATGAAAAGGAAGAATCTGACAAGATAAGCCAAAATTGACTGCCTGCTTCCATGGAAGCCAAATAAGAAGGCCATGGAAGATTTGCAGGCAGGTCATTTTTGGCTTACCCAATAAGACCCAGCCATCCATGCTAGATCTTCTTCTTCTTCTTCTCTTCCAAACTCAATTAGTTGCAGAACATACAGGTTACTATTCACACACACATATATATATGTAGTTGCATTGCTGACATTTTGATAGAATATATTCAATTTTTTGGGTTGCATGGTTGACTCAACCAGCTAGCTAGAAATCTTGTTCTTACCGTTATTCGTTTTTGTAAAGTCAACTGTAGTGGACAATTTTGGTCCCTCAATCAATTCTGTTTTCGGACAGCTCATTGAGATTTGCTTTGTACGTTGTTCGGGAAATTACATTCTACTGTCAATGACAGCCTCAGGACTAATTAATAACATTTGTGTTTGGGATTTATGCATTTAGCTTTACAGAAAATGAAATTCTTTTGCATCCTAGACATGGATACTTTTTATGACCATCCAAGCCCACCGCCAGTACATGTTGTCTGCTTTTGCCGATTACTTGTCATTATTAGCATCACGGTTGTCAGGGAGAGGTTTCTACACCCTTATAAACAATGCTTCGTTCCCTTCTCCAACTGACGTGGGATCTCACAATCTACCCTCCTTTAGGATCCAGGTTGGCACACTATTTGTAACAATCTAAGTTTATTGTTAGCAAATATTGTCTTTTTTAGACTTTTCTTTCAGGCTTCTTTCCAAGGTTTTTAAAATGTGTCTACTAAAGAGAGGTTTCCACTTATAAATAAGTGATTCTCCTAATTTTCTCTCCAATCATCATGTGATCTCACACTTTATTAGTGATTTTTCAATCACACTTTATTAGTGATTTTTCAAACCATTGTAACACTTACTCAAGTTTGAGGCTTGATTTGGCTAACTTGAAAGTTTACTTTGGTTCTTAGTTTAAAGAATATCAATTTTATCCATCCAATCAGCACGAGTTTGACCAAACGGATTAGATCTCGTCTCTGAACCTTAAGACATAATTTATGTCGGGGATTCAAGGTAGACACTAACCCGAATAACTTTATAACTTAAATTATACATATGAAGAAGAAAAAAAAGTACTAAATTTTGAAACAACATGCCTACTGAGAAACAGCATGATAAGAAACTAAAGTGTTGGCAGAAGACAGTAGCTAGAATATTTGGTTGATTAGAGTTGACTTCCAAAAAGGAATAATTTTAAGAAGCAAAATTCTAGCCATTTGAGTCAACCATGCATCCAAGCAGAACATATTCCTTAATAATGTCAAAAAAATCAAGCAAAAGCTCAGGCATGGGCAATGCAGCACTGTATATATAAAGACAACAATCCTCTCTGTTTTACACAAGTAGTTGAGTGCAAGAGAAGAAGAAGATGGACCTAATATGGAGGATTGAGTAGGAACCCATCTTTTGGCTTACCTTCTTACACTCTTTTCCTTTCATCTTAGCTTCTTTCTTCCTTCTTATAAACCCCAATTTTCGTTCCGAGCGTTGCAAACGTTCAATGTAGTGCATGGAGATGAAAAGAAAGAGTGGTTTCGTGCGACGGGAAGAGTGACTATTTGATAGCAAAAAATGACTTGCCTTCTATATTAAATCAACGTATGATGCTTTAAAGCATGATATGGTTTGATTGTACGGGACAGTCATTTTGGCTAAACCAACGAACTCTTCTCCATCATATTAAATCACCTCTTTCGTAAGTTTGAAGAGAATTCATGTGAGATCTCACATTGATTGGAGATAAGAACGAAACATTCGTTATAAGGGTGTAGAAACCTCTCTATAGTACACGAATTTTAAAACTTGGAAAACCCGTAAAGAACAATATCTATTAGCTGTGGGTTTGGGCCATTACAAATGTTATTTGAGCTAGAAGGCTTAGACTATTACAAATGATATCAGACACTAGGGAGTGTACCGGAGTGTGGAAACCTAGTCCTATCACGTGCTAATCAAGTGCATTTTATACATACATATATATGTATATATATGCACATTAATAAATAAATAAATAAATAAATAAAAACTACTCTAATTTTGCCATCTTGGTTTTTTAATTGCATTATTTTTAAAATTAATCTGAAAATTTATGGGAAAGTATTTTATATCATTTAAGCTCAATTTTTTGGTGCGCCTTTCCTTTTGTTATTCTTGTAGAGTGGGCAAAACGTTCGCCGCCGCGCCACTTTCTTCTCTTCAGTCCTAAAACCCTTCCCAACCTTGCCGCCGCCGACATCCCTTGTTCCTTACCGCCGAAACCTCGCCCAGCGACCTGCCTCCTGCACCTGGTAAAACCTACGAACTTATTCGAATTGAACCGACTTGCACCGATAATCTAAACTAGCATTCTAAGACTGCAATATCCTTTCGCTCAGCTGTCTAGATGGAGTTTGTGAGCCCTGAAGGACTTCGCTTGGACGGTCGTCGTCCCATGGAGGTAGTTCCCCTTCTCATTCTCTTGCTTAATGCCTCTTCTTCCTTATTTGAATTCTTCACTCCTGTTCCGCTCAATTTTTTACTTTTTTGTTTAATTTTAGATGAGGCAAATCCGAGCAGAAATTGGCGCCGTTTCTAAAGCAGATGGGTACTTACTTTCACTTCTATGAACTGAATGATTCTTGAAAATGGCTGTCTCTTCCTTAATTTTTATCGAAGACTAAGTAACGGAATGTCATTACTTTTCTCCTGATTTAGTTCTGCTTTATTTGAGATGGGTAACACCAAAGTTCTTGCTGCTGTATATGGTCCAAGAGAGGTATAATAATTCAGCAATTATTGTATGTGCCTCGTTAAAAAAATCTATGAACATAAGAACTTATAGAGCTATGTATTTTTCTTGTATTAATCCATTTGGGTATTTATGTTGAAGGCTTCTACCGTATTGTTGGAATGAATTCCTTTGTTGCTTGTGTAGGTTCAGAATAGGAGTCAACAAATGAGCAACCAAGCACTGGTTGAACTTTCTTCTGGATGCTCTTGTTTTGAAGTTCGAATGCTTAATGTGCATTAGTAACCCATTGTTGAATCCTTGATCTCTTTCAGGTGCGTTGCGAGTACACCATGGCTAATTTCAGTACTGGAGATCGCATGAGAAAACCCAAGGGTGACAGGTTATTTATTTTTAATCCGTGTTGATTGAATTATGAATGATTATAGTTGATTGAATTCCATTAAATAGAGGTATGGTCAATATTCATATCTTGAAACATAAGAAATTTGTAACCATGAAAGATAGCAGTGAGATTATTTCTAGTTCAATTTTGAGTAGATGTCACCAGATGGAACAAATTAAGAACTGATAGAAAAGAACTATGATAGAGATGTATTTATATCTATTTGGTTTAATGCTGTAATTTGTATTAAATTATGGCATTTTTCACATTCAGGCGATCGACAGAGATATCTTTAGTCATTCGCCAGACAATGGAGGAATGCATTCTAACACATTTAATGCCTCGATCTCAGGTTTTCTACAATAATCTTACGAGCTGCTCCTCTATGATTTTAACCTTCATCTTTTCTCATTTTTATTTGTTATGTGCAGATAGATATTTTTGTTCAAGTTCTTCAAGCAGATGGAGGTATAGTTAAAGTTAATTATCAAGTCTATCAGATGTAGCTCTTCATATTATTAGTTCTAGTTCAGATATTTTTAGGCCATATTATACTTTCTTTCCATCTTTATTTATATTTGTTATTTTCTTCAAGCAGTCCTCTTTTTTTTCTTTTATAAAATAGAAGATTAAAGTTTTTCTGTACTCTTTCCCCTGCTATCATCTTCTATGTGCTTCCTTTGTGCTTCTTCTATGTGCTTCCTTTATGCCAAAAGTTCGAAGCCTGCAAGTATATTTTTTCTCACTATCCAACCTCTCAGAAGGCAGCTCTTTTTAGGCAATTCCCTTAAAAAACAAGGCCGATGCTCTAATGTGAATATGTAGTCAAAGGCATTTCACAGGAAACTTGACTTGAGAGAAACAACTACATATCAAAGTATTCAAAGACTCGAGTAGAGACATAAATGAAATTTGAGATATGAGCAATTTTAAAGCTTCTTCGTGGTCTTTCACCTCCATTTTTGTTGTAATTAAAATGTTTCTATTTCCAAAAAAAATCAATGTTGACAGAGGAACTATTTATAATCCCATTGGCCTAAGCAGGCCGATGCCTGACTTCATATTAATTGTTTCTTCATTTCCTTTTTAATGGAAGAAAATTATGGCCTCTTATGTTTTTGCTTTCAAAGAACACACTTAATGTCTATGCATTGTATAATGTTCTGTCTTCAGTGGTTATGATTTGAAGCATCTTGTGAAACATCATTAGTTTATGTACTTTCCTTTCTTTACATGCTGATCTGAAAGATTTCTTGTTTATAGGTACCAGATCAGCATGTATTAACGCTGCAACTTTGGCACTTGCTGATGCTGGAATTCCCATGCGAGATATTGTTACTTCCTGCAGTGCTGGATACCTTAATAGCACTCCTCTGCTAGGTAATTTAATATAGCTTGTCTACTGCAGCAACGTTTGTTTTTCCTTCTTTCTTTCTTTCTTTTCTCCGTCTTTTTTCTCTCTCAAAATGTTGCCTGGTTTAACTAGAACTATTATGGATTGAAATTATGATATGGGCAGATTTGAATTATGTAGAAGATAGTGCTGGTGGCCCTGATGTCACTGTTGGCTTTCTACCTAAGTTGGATAAAGTCACTCTTCTTCAGGTTCATTAACTTGTACCTTTTCTTCTCCTCTCTCTAGTGTAATCTGCCATTTTTGTGGTTCTATGAGACTCAGTTTGCTGTATTTTAAAACCAAATTGATTAGTTTTGTTTGTCCTCTCCCTATCCTTTTGTACTGCTTCCAATTTTATATTACATTCTGTAATATTAAACTAGTCTTCTGCAGTCACCACAATCCATACATTTTGACATAAACATTTGGTGCAGATGGATTCTAAATTACCTGTTGATATATTTGAGAATGTCATGCAACTTGCAATCGAGGGCTGCAAAGCCGTAGCTAATTACATTCGAGAGGTAAGGACTCAATGACTCTTCTTCTCGTTTTTTTCCCCTTAAATCTTTACAAATGGACATCGTTATTGAATCAAATTCCATCATAACAATGTACTGTTAACCCCATAGTGTGATTGACGAGGGTTGGATTATTCAAAATTTCTGCCGTTTTTGTTGACAGGTAATGTTAGAGAGTACCAAAAAGCTCGAATATTGCCGTGGAGCATAGCCGAACCGGTTTTCAGGCATTCTTACACAAAGGAAGGACTCTTCAGGTGTGTTCTAACTTCAGTAATGGACTGGAGAACTTTTCAGAAAAGATGTCATGTTAAGTTGGTCCCATCTTCCAGTTTGTTGAATTAATCTCTTGCCCTGATGTACAGAAGGTGTTTAGTTTTTAGCTATATTTAACAAATCAAAAGCCTTCTTTAATTATTGCCCACAAAATTTATATGAAGGGACCTTGAACAAGAAGATAAAACAATTGATGCTGTAATGATCTTCTTATTATTATAAACTGCATTATTAGTACCGAATGAACATGTGCCTACTTAAGTCTATCCCTTTTTCTAGTGACTAAACCAAAATAGACGAACACAATTAAGCAACTTGAAGTCTTTTTAACTGGATATACTGTTTCTGTTGTTGATCATAAATATGCAAATTCAAATTAGCTCACTTCAATATTGACTTCTAAACTGTGGATATGTCAATTTCGAGTTTAGATTGAGAATTATAACGATATAGGAGACAGATTGTAAAGATAGAAAATCGAGAAGGGCTTGAACGTAGAGCTTTGGTTTTAGCTAGTTTATAGTTATTTAATGAGTTTTTTCAAAAACCGCGTACCTATAATTGAATCGAGTGAGATATATGTGCTCCAAAATACAATCTGTATTTATATATATATATATATATATATCTATATATATTTAATTTTGGGTTATGAAATTTTAGATTATTTTGTAGATTTATTAATTTTGAGATATTATTATATTAGGATTAGGCATATCTTATTTTAAGATTTGAGATTCCTAAGAGTTTATTGATTTTAAGTACGAGAGAATTTAATTAATTAATTCGTTTAAAATTAGGATTTTACCATTTTTTTTTCCTCGTTTCTCAACATCTACAATTTGGGCCTAAAACCCTTCGGCCCATTTCACTTCCTCTTCTCTCTTTCCGGCTTATAAAGTTGAGACACCTTTACCTTTTTGACTCTTCTGCGCGTGGTTGCGTTACTGTGTTAGAGAGAGAGCGCGCGAGAGAAGAGAGAAGAGAGAAAGAGCGAAAGAGCGAAAGAGAGAGAGAGATGTCGTACTTGCTGCCGCATCTTCACTCTGGATGGGCCGTCGATCAGGCAATCCTCACCGAAGAAGAACGCCTTGTGGTCATTCGTTTCGGTCATGACTGGGACGAGACCTGTATGCAGGTCTTTCTCTTTCCCTACTTCACAATTATTGTTGTTCATCATCAGATTTAATCATAATCCTTTTGTGTATATCTCTCCCTACTCCCTGTTTCTTCCTGTTGCTTCTACTGAACTGATATTTGTTCTGTTTCGGCTTTTAATTTCATAATATAAGACTCATTTTTTTCAGTTCTTGGAGTCTATCAAGTCTCGGTCGGTCAAGGATTTTTCTTTTCTATTTTTGGGTTTTCTTTAATCTGGGCTTGATTTTTGTATATATGCTTGCCTCGATTTAGCAATTTTCTGAATTTTATGTGCAGTTTTTAGGATTGGTTGGTTGATCTTCTTCTCTGTTAGCATCATCTGTTCTGTTGCAATTATGCTCCTTGCTCGCTTTCTATAATCATGCCTTCCTATGTATTTGAGCACATCAAACCTATTATGTACCTGAAATGAAGTTCCTTCATTGCAATTGTTATTAAACGACTTCCTTATTGATCTTTAATAATCCAGTCTTTGATTGTTGTTGCTGTATGCACGAGGTTTTTCATGCTAGCGGATTGATCTTTGAGTTCATGGGCCATCTAGACTCTTTTTTGGTGGCTAATTTGTTTAGTCTTTTCCCCCTTGTTTTTGTTGCACGGAGCCACGGTGCTTCCATCCTGAATGTTTAAAGTCAAGAAGATTTTTTCACATAATTTGTTTGGTTTGCTATACATGATCATCTTTATAGTATATTGAGATGTTTATATCTGATTGGTATGTTCTTGATCTAGATGGATGAGGTGTTGGCCTCAGTTGCTGAGACGATCAAGAACTTTGCAGTAATATACCTTGTGGATATCACTGAGGTTCCTGATTTCAACACAATGTACGAGCTGTATGATCCTTCCACTGTCATGTTCTTCTTTAGGAACAAGCACATAATGATTGATCTTGGTACTGGTAACAACAATAAGATAAACTGGGCACTCAAGGATAAGCAAGAGTTCATCAATATCATTGAAACAGTCTATCGTGGAGCAAGGAAAGGACGTGGTTTAGTCATTGCACCTAAGGACTATTCAACCAAATATCGCTACTAAGACGTCTCGAAAATGTGTACTCTATGACATTATTCGCTCGTGAAAAGGATATGGTTTATTTTGGATGTCATTGTGTGCCATGACTTCTCAAAACATTTGATCACTGTTGGACCTCTGATGAGGGAATATAACTGTTTATGGTAACAAGTCTTTGATCAGGTATGTTTTGGTTGAATAAGTTGTTTTCCGATCTATTGATGATGTTGTTTGATTACAATAGTTGATAGGAAAATGAACACTGAACTGCCTGGTTTATGAACTAAAAGGGTATGAACACTGAACTTCTAATACACTTTGTTTCATAATTCTGTCATTTGTGATCACATATCCATTTTTTTCTCGTATAACTAATAGCCATATATGCAGCTTCTATTTTCTGGAAAATTTTGCTCTCTGTAATTCTTCAATGCCTAATCTTTCTTGCAATCATTTCGACCATTCCTATCACTGCTATTCCAATGACATACCAAGTGACTCCTCTTTGTATAAGCTGCATCCAATGACTATTAACTAACTCCAGTGCCACAGAACCTCCAATGTGTTCCTTAAAGCCGCTGGCACCATCATCTGTCACCATTTGCTGGATTACATTGGTTGCAACTATCGATATCAAGACTGGTAATGCCAATCTCATGGGGCTAGTATGATCACCACCACCCACTTCAAAATCAAGGTCTTTTGATTCTTTGCTACGTTTGGTCTCCACCCTTGGATTTGAGATTGTGCTTATTGGAGTTTGAGTTGAGACTGGAAGTGCAAGGGTGGTCGGAACCCAGTAATCGTCCTTTATGTATTTTGTTGTAGTTTCATTTTTGTCTTCGGTTTTTGCCTTGAGTTGCTTCCTTGCAGTAATAGCAGCTTGAAGTTTGTTGATTTGTGGTGTGGATTTGTTGACGACGAGCATCAGGTTTTGACTGTGTTTTGTTCCGGTGGCTGTCTGCCAAAATAAGCAATTTGAGATTGATCTGATGGCTTGAATTGCAGACAACTGTGCTTTGTTCTCGAAGGTTGTCCCCTGATAAACAATCATACAACTCGATCTTATTACAACATCAAGAATGGGTAGTGTCACATGTACAGGGTTTCACTCTAAATCAAGTTTTGAACGATTTTAAGTCAATGGTGATGTCGAACCATTAGTGTAAGAATATTTCGGGTCTAACCTTGACATGCTGGTTTGAAGTCTTCTCCATAGCTTCCTTGAATCTGATTTGGAACTTCTTCACGTCTGTGAAAATGTTTGACACTCTTTCACTAGCTGCGTTGCCCATTCCAACTCTTACATTTCCACGTGGTTGCTTTGACATTAAAAACTCAAGGGCTGCCAAATCTGACCTTTCCACCATCCTGGATTTAATTTGCCAAGAACAAGAAAAAAAAAACTTGTTAGCAAATCAGAAGAATATCGGACAAGTTATAACTCGTTGATTAAGCACTCACGAAATGCAGTCAACTGGGCAAGCTTCAATGGCCTCCATCACTTTATATTCAGGATCAGCCCACTGCGCCACAACTCTAGCTCTCCCATACACAGATTCGACAGCAAAAGTTTTCCCAGCAAATAAAGCACATTTCAAGCAGCCAATGCACTTCACTTCATCTACAAAAACCGCCCTTTGTTCGCTTTCCGATCCCAACCATACCGAATAAACCGACTTCCCTGTGTAACCTCGAAGTTCTGCCATTTTTGCTTGCTCCTGCGAACATCATTTTTGTCACAAACAATCTTGTTTCCAAATTCTATAGAGAGCTGCACAAATTGGAATAGAGTTGTCAGTTCTGACCTTATCGTAAGCCAACCTAGAATTAGGATCCGAAAGAACTGAATACACTTCATTGAGAATGATAGCCATGTCATGGCCAGCAGGACCGGCGATGTCGGGGTGGCACTGCTTTTGGAGCGCACGGTACGCTGCCTTAATCCGCGATGAATCGGAGGTGTTGTCGATGCCAAGAAGATCATAAAGATCAAAGTCTGTTATTGAAGAACCTGCCCTGCATGCCAAAGTATTGCCATAAAGCATCTTGGAAAATGAAAAGTTGTACGATCCCAACTTTCTTCGAGTTGGATTCTGTATTTTTGTTGCAACAATGGGCGTGTACAGAGGAAGCCATGCGGCAGTCATCTTCCTAGTTTTCAGAAGGATAAGAGAGAAGAGGAGAGAAATAGGTGCTACTTGCTAGGAAGATATTTAATGACAAGATAAGAGGAGTAGGTGAGATATTTTGATGCATAATCCGTGTGAAGGAAGACTATTGATTGGGGATTTTGACGTTGGAAAATTCAGCAAAACAATTGAAATCTAAGGTGCAAAGCAGAAATCATAGAAAGCTTTTCTAAGTTTCATGAAAATGCATCAATGATAAACTTAAATACCTTTGTCTTTTGCACACATTGTCCCATCTTTGAAGCGATAAATCCGCCATGGTTCACGTGGGAAACTCATAGGCATAACACAAGTAAGGAGGAACCCATTTCTCAGGTAAATTTGGATAATTGTGGTGTTAAAGGAATCAAGAGACACCAATGAGGTCATACAAACAGCACTCCTGATTTTCTGAATCTTCGATCGGTTTCATTTGATCGATAATTAAGTTCAGCATTACGTAAATCCGCTCGGAATCACCATGTGTCTTATCATGAGCTATGAATCTATGAAGGATTCCAAATACTTCAACAAAACTAAAACCAGGAGATTTCTTCACTCCCCTCCTTTCCATGGCTTCTCTAATATTTCTGGCATCATTCCAACGCTTGTCTACGGCATATATATTTGATAAGCCAATATATCTACCATCATGATCTGGATCTAACTCAACAAGCCTCCTTCCTACCACTTCTGCAAGGTCTAGTTTACCATGTTTCATGCAGCCACTCAGGAGAGCACCTAACATCGACGAAGTTGGTTGGATGGTCATTTGACATAAGAATTGATACGCCTCAGATACTTGGCCGGCCCGGGATAAGGCATCTACCATACAAGCATAATGCTCGACCTTTGGAGTCATACCATGTTTATGAAGGCAATCAAAGAAATACCAAGCCTCATTTACTAATCCTCCATGAGCACAACAGCTTAACAAGCACAAGTACGTGATCTCATCAGGCGCAATCCCTACCATTTGCATCTCAGTAAACAAGTCCATGGACTCCTTTATCAGCCCATGTGTTGCCAAACCTCCAATTATAGCATTCCAGATTAGAACATCAGTCCGTTGCAGTGGACATGCACGAAACGCAGCCAAAGCTTCATGTATGGCGCCACATTTGGCATACATGTCCACCAAAGATGTCAGTAGCACAATAGTCAATGGCAACTCATTCTCAACTATATAACCGTGCATCATTCTCCCCTGTTCAAGTGCACCCAAATGGGCACAGGCACACAGAACACTCACCAAAGTCACCTCATTCGCCATGGGCCCAGCCGAGCGCATGTGCTCAAACAGAGCCATCGCCTCACCATATTCCCCGCACTTAACATACCCATCGATCAAAGAGCTCCACGACACAACATCCCTCTCATGCATTAAATCAAACACCTCCCTAGCAGTATTCACGTCCCGACATTTGGCATACCCATCCAACATAGCGTTCCAAGACACCAAATTCTTCGTTGGCATTTCGTCGAACACCTTACGCGCAAACGCGATATCTCCGCAAGAAGCATACATATGAATCAATGAATTCATTACGAACCTGTCAACCTCATGCCCAGTTTTGGCAACATGAACATGCACCGCCATTCCAAGCTTCCGATTCAACAACTTCGCTGTCGCCTTCCCCAGAAAAGGGTACGTCATATAATCAGGGGAGACCCCATTCCGCAGCATCCTGACGAAAACCGTGATTGAACGATTTGGGTTTCTGGAATTTGAAAAACCCCTTATGAGAGTGTTCCATTTGAAGGTGGTGGGATTGGGAAGATTCAATAACAGTTTATATGAGTAGTCGAGATCGCCGGCGGGGGAGAGTGCAGAGAAGGAGAGAAGTTTCGATACGACGGCGTCGTCTTGAGAGACACCGAAAGTGAAAAGCAGAGCATGGATTCTTCTTAATTCGGACATTGATTTGCATTTGTCGAGAAGAGAGGTTAGAGAAGATGCTTTCATCATCATTTGAATGCATTCGACACCGCAGCCCACGGATTAAAGTTGAGTTTTTTTTTTCTATAATAATATAATTTTAATCTTTAATCTTTAAATAGATAAAAAATAATATCCATTTTTAAAATAAAATAATTTTAAATATTAAATTTAAATAAATTTTTTGAAGACCAAAATTTCAAAATATGAAACTAAAATTTATTATTTTTAAAAAAAATTAAAATTGAGAATTGCTTTTTGTGTTAGCTTAAATTAAATTGTTATAAGTTTTAAAATAATTAGTATATTTGGTAAATTAATACTAAATTATTGTGATCTATACATAATTATTTTTATATTAATATTTAATTTATAATTTATTTTAAGATAATTGTTTAAAAAATTATATTATTTAGATACATGTAGTTTTGTTTTGTCTAAACTATTTATCAAAAAAAGAAAAAGGGAAAACAAATTCTTATTTTCTATATTTGTTTATTTTGAAATAATAATAAAAATAGAAAAAAGAAAAAAGAAAAAAGAAAAAGGTGCGTCTGTTTGTTTGTTCTTGCTCGGCTCTAAAAAATTATATAATCTTCGTCGTGTTCTTAGATTCTTCTGTTACTATTAATTTTTTTCTTCTCTGAAATATTTGATTCTCCTTCTCCTAATTCCTCATAGCATCTCTTTTCCATCTTCCATTTGTCAAATCCAAATCTCCCTTTTCTCTCAAACCTCAATCTCCTTCTTTTATGGAGAACGAAGCCACCACTAACGCCACCAAACTTGGTTTTGATGGAGTCAAGCCACCGCCCACCACTGCCACCACTGCCACCACCGCCACCACCGCCCCCTCCGACCTTGAACATAACCCTAATTCCAATTCATCGCCATCGTCTGCAGACCCCCACAATGAGACTACTGGATCCGACTCCACTTCTCGCCAATCCGCTAGAACTCCCTTCACTAACCTCAACCAGGTCGATGCTGACCTTGCCCTCGCACGTACCCTTCAAGAACAGGTCCTCTCTATCCCTCTTTTGATGTCACTGTTCCTTCTTTGTTCTTGTTCCTGTTCAATTTGTGGTTTCTTTTTTTGTTTCTTGTTGTTCTGTGTTCAATTCGGTCTGTTGTGAGCTGCTTTGGGAACTGTGTGATGGGAAATCCTATCTTTTTTGTTTCCGTTCGATTTTTTAAGGAATTTGGTTGCGTGTGGATTCGATGTTCTGCTTTGTGGAATTGAACTATCCTGCGAGTCTATTTATTGTTTAGATTCTGGATTTTGTTTTCCTTTCTTGATTATCTGATTGTGTTTTATTGTTCTTGCTTGCTGTGATTTCTAGCATCGGCTTCATTTGAGTTCATTAGGTTTCTGCTAGTTTGTGTAGGGAACACTTGGGGGAGTTGTTAACAAACACCAATCATACAATGAGCACGCTTTTGTTACTTTCTTTTATCTCTCAATATTGATTGACTAGTTCATTGTGAGCAAACGTACGTTAGTGAATGCAAATTGTGTTTCATCTTGATTTGGTAATGATGATTTTCCAGCTTATGGGGGTAAGAGGATATAAGAAAAAAGGGTTTTAGTGATGTTTTCAATTGACAATGATTAATTATGAGCAGGAAAGGGCATACCTGAGGCTTAGAATGGTGAGTATGGGGATTGATTTTGGAAGTTGGGAAGGTGGAAGTTATGCATTAGATGACGAGGACAGTTTTGGTGATTTGCACGATCATACAGAATCTGATGGAGATGAGGAGGAGGAGGAGGAGTTTGATGGAACAGATGTCAATGACGACGACGATGTGTTTGATGTGCATGCTCGTGAAGATGGTGGAGAGCATAGCAACCCCAGCTTTGAACTTGATCCTGGTAATTTTTCGAGTGACGAGGCTTATGCTAGAGCCTTACAAGATTCTGAAGACAGGGAAATGGCTGCTAGATTGATGGCCCTTGCTGGATTACATGATGGTGAGTATGCTTGGCCATGTGGCTCTCTATGTAATGCATTATTACTTCTGTGGAGGTCTCTAAATCATGGAGGACTAAAATCTTTTTTTATATCTTGTTGCAGAGGAAGCAGATGACACAGATGATCAAGGCGAAAATTCTCAGGTACATTTATATATATAGCTGCCCTGTTTAAACTCTTAAGTGTTTCATCCTTCTACCTTGGTCATAAGATCCAACCCTTCCTTTACTTGATTATCATTCATATTCCCACAAGCTCTAGCATACGATTCAACATTATCACGACCCTTTATTTTTCTGGAGAATCTGGTCTTGGATGAATAAAAGGTTTTTAAAAAATCACTCTTCCTTGGATGTTTTTCAGGATCTTATCAGACTACATATCTTATATATATAGCTACTCCTGTTTAATCTCTCAAGTGTTTCATCTTTCTTCTATGATATGCACAAATTGGGATGTTCTTTTATAGCTCACTTGGTCTATGAGGCATTTCTTATCTCTTTTATTTTCTGATTAATGATACTGTTCTTTTCCTAAAAAACTGAAAAACTATACTGTTTGTGTCTATCTCGACCTCTGTTACTCCTTCAGAAAGTGTCTACAAGTCTATGTTTCGTAGGCTGGTTTCCGACATCCAAAAGCCCTTCCAAGAAGTGTATTTCTAAGTTGTCGGTACTATTAGCAACATGAACTAGAGCTTCAAAAGCAAAGAGAAGTTAAGTTGGTGGGATGTTAGGGAAAATGGCTTGTGCCAAAACTCTCCTGGAGATAGCCACCATTTTTCACCTTTACAGCTTTATGAGAATCTTTTCTAAGAAGCCAAAAGAATCTTGAAGGATGCTTAAGGTACTAAGTGGCTTTTATTTAAGCCATGAGAAAAACACTCAGCCATAGCAGTTACTTCCTTCCTTGACTTGCTACTACCATTAATCATATCTTTCTAATTTTTATGAAATTATCTTTGAAATTGTTTTGACCCTTAATGAAGAACTCATTCAAATAGCCAGCCAATCCAAGAAGATATAGCTGTATTTTAAATTTATTACAGCCATTAAAATATCCTTTTTGTAAGGGCCTATGACAGCCCTAGAAACAGGATCCTTTTGAGATCTCTTGACTAAAGCCTTCTTCATTTGTCGAGGAAAAGAAAATTTCGAAGTTCTTGAATTACTTCCATTTGTTGCCCCATTGGATAAACATAGACAATTAACAGAGAGCACCCTTAATGATAAGGTGTCATCTATGTGTTTTAGAGCTTCCCTTCTGTTTAATCAGCTATCATTCAAGCTTCTCTTCTCTGTATTATCCAACAACGATGTCTTCTCCCTTGGATCTTCCTTTTAATGGATGTTATAAGTCCATTATTCTGACTTTTAAGGATCTTCTTTATAGTTTTCAACTTCAGCATGAGGGAATGGCCTGTTGAGGGTTGTTTTAGTAGGCTAGTGATTGAAGGTGACTGTTGCCTTGTAGCCCCAGAATTCTGAAATTATATCTTTCCATTATATCGACAAAAATGTCTTTTCAATATCTTCGGAACAACTGAATAATTATTCTGTTTCTCGTCTTAGACTAGGTGAATTTTTTATTCCGAAAGGCATGTCTACTAGTAGACGATTTGTATAAGTTAATTGAAGTGAGAATAAAGGGATGATTCAATTCAATAGTAGCCCGGCTTTAATATCCTATGAGTTTCTTTGGCAATAAAATGTTATAGGGTCCTTTTGGTGCATTGTCCCGGGAGAAAAATGGAAGTGTGCACAAGATCATTGTTTGGTAACGTGGAAGTTACCAACCCCATAACCCAAAATAGCATATAGATCACAAAGGCATTTGATTCTTATAAAGTATATCTACCCATGAAAGGGATTGCGATCTCTACTTCTTTCACTTCTGCTCGTCATGCTTCTCTGCCTTATCTTCCAACTACAACTCTACCTGCTGTGGAAGGTCCATCTGTTTCCTCACAGTTTGTCACGGCCCTCCCTTTATCTGACAGGCGGTGTGGACGAGGCCACTTTTGAAACCTTTTCCTTTGCTGTCCAACCATCAAATAGAAAGATCTTCTAATGCAGAAGAAAAAGTCCCAAGAAGGGTCAGTCCAGATGCAAAATTTTTCCAGAACAATCACAAACGCATCAATGATGATCAGGATGAGCGACTTGATGAGAGTTCATAAGGACCTCACCAGCTTCCCATCTATTAAATGTGATTTGTGATTTGATCTGTTGATGGTTGGATAATCATTGTCATATATGGTTAACTGGGGGGATTGGTGCCTTTGAGAGAGCTCATTTTGTTAGTCACACCAAAGGCATGTTCCAAGCTAGTGTCTGTTGATCACAATCTCCTGTCCCTTTTGAAGGAAACCTTTTAAACTCTTAATATTAGATGACATATCTGATTTATTGTTCTATCAAAATACTCATCAAGGCTTGGTTTGCAGGATACGTGGGAGGATGTTGACCCAGATGAACTGTCATACGAGGTGAGTTTGGTCTGATGGAGTGATGCCCATGCGTTATAATTGTTTGTTCTTGAGAGGATAATTAATATTTCAGGAGTTGCTCGCATTGGGTGAAGTGGTAGGAACTGAGAGCAGAGGGCTATCTGCTGATACAATTGCTTCCTTACCCTCCATAAACTTCAAGGCAGGGAGCGGTCAGACTGGAAGCAATGATTCGTGAGTGATTTGAAGCACAGCTTTGGTTTTCTTTACCATCCATGTCTTATTTACTTAGCTTTTGGCTCTCATTTCTCAGATGTGTCATTTGTCGGTTGGATTTCGAGGACGATGAAACCCTGACTGTTCTTTCCTGCAAACACTCCTACCATTCGGAGTGCATAAATAATTGGTTAAAAATAAATAAGGTATGCCATTTTTACATGAGCCTACCTATCAGCAAGGATTATTGTTTCTTTCTCCTGAAACTTCTGTTCTCCACCCCCTAAACTGCGATGTCGACGATACTTTTGTGCTTTGCATCGATGCCAACAATAACGTACATATGGCTACTACCGATAGCAGTGATATCTAAAGCTTGCTGCTGCTTTTGTACAGGTCTGCCCTGTTTGCAGTGCTGAAGTGTGTTCTACAGCTGGTGGGAGCAGTTAAGTTAGTTGTAGCATGTGCTATGGAATGTACCAAAATCAACATCTCACGAAGTTAAACGACGAAGGATTTTAATTTTTGTTTTGTTTCTTTTATAATGATTTTGCATACCCATTTCAGTTCAAGCCAAGGTATCATCATCATCATCATGTGAATCTCTAAGGTATCACTTCATCCAAATTTGATGCTCTTGGGATGTGAATCCTATGAATAAGAATTCATAGGGTTTGTACTACTTTTGAGCAACTACTTCCACTCCTCCATGTATATGATATCATATACAACTCACTCCACTTGATACTATTGTTGAAAACTATTTCTAACCCATGTTTTTTTTTTTTTTTAACTTTAATCAAAATTTAATTGGACAATAAATCGTTACAATCAAATTTAAATGATTCGCAATAACTCTTGATTTCAATAGTTCAATATTTGAGGATTTGATGAAAAACTATCATTTTTATGGTTAACATTATAATTTTAAAAAATTATGTAATTACATTTGTTTTCGAGTTTCAGATAATGAATGAGAATGAATGAGAATAAGGCATCATCATTTTAGAGTTAATTCAACCAGATAATGCATGAAAGCTTATGGAGATCTGACAAATATTTACATTCACTATAAATCATTTAAACTAATCTTGCATATATCAATAAAATACCAAAATTGGTCAAACGAGTAAGTGATATTTGTAAATTGTAATGACAGAAATTTCTCAAGAGATAGGAGTAAAATATGTTATAAAAGAAAGACAAAATATAAGAGTATAGAACAAAGGTATCTATTTTTCAGTTGATTCACTTGCATGCTCTTAAGACTCTATTGTATAACCAATATTTATAAATAAGAATATATGTAGAGCATGATTATGAGATTCATATACAATATATTTTATAACAATTATAGAGTGAATGGAATATATAGGCATTTCCTAATAAACTCACATCATCAAGACTGTGATCCGCCAAGTTTTACCAGTTGAATCTGCATAATGTGATCATCGGGAAACATCCTCCAACTTGAAACATCTCCTCCCACCCTTCCTAACAACTTGGGGATTTCCCTGTAAAAATATTCTTTTCAGGTTTAATTTTATTGAAGCTGAAAATGAAATGAAAAGAGTAGCTCATGTATCTTATTGTCTCAAGAACACTATAAATATTTAAAACAATTTAATCTAAAAACTGTCTCAAAGTAATTTTACATTAACTTAGCTTAATTCTAAACTAAGACTAGTTATGTTTAGACCCATAAGTAATTTTAAAATTCTCTTAGGTCGTTGAAGGTCATGTAGTCATTTCCTATCATTTGAATCTAAAATGCATTACATATTATTATGAGGAAGTTAAAAAGAGGAAGACACAGAAAAAACTTCCATGGGGTTCCAGGATATCTTATTTAATTATCTGATTATCCCAATAACAGAAAATAAGCGAAAACTAGGGTTCATGATCCAAACCAATTGACACAAGAAGTAGTGGCTAAGAGGGAGTTTTCTAAGGGAAAAAGTAGCAATCCCATAATTTTTGGATCATGGCTAACACAAAGAAGATTCAAAATCTAATTATGCTAAAAATAGAGTCCAATTTTGAAGGCCAGAAGCCATTAGAAACCTCTATATAAACACCCAGCTGAGGATTGGAAAGACAGCTCCGGGAAGAAGCTGCATAGGCCAGTTCTTTTCAGGGGAATGACATAAGACAGGGGTTTACATTTTTTGTATTAGTTCTTTCTATTTTGTCTCAGTGGATTTGAGGATCCCCAAAAAATCCACTGGTGAAATCTTTTATCCTTCGAAAGAACTAATATAAAACTTATTTTATACAAAGATTATATCATTTATCTGTATTCTCAATCCCTTATATTTTATAGAAAAGAAAAAAAATAAAAATAAATGGCTGGAGGAGGAGTTGTTGTTCAGGGAGGAAGGAACTATGAGGGTGGAGTCACTCCTTTTGTCATGGTCACCTGTTTGGTGGCAGCCATGGGGGGTCTTCTCTTTGGTTATGATCTTGGAATTTCAGGTTTGTTTGCTTAATCTTTCTATTTCATTTATGGGTTTATGGAAGGATTTTGTTTCAACTTTTTGGTTTTGGGTTCTCGTTGGCTGGCAGGTGGGGTGACTTCAATGCCAAGTTTTTTGGCTCATTTTTTCCCATCAGTTGTGCTTAAGATGAAAAGTGCCCATGAAAGCGAGTATTGTAAATTTGACAGTGAACTCCTAACATTATTTACCTCTTCTCTTTACCTGGCTGCTCTGGTGGCATCCTTTGGTGCCTCGATCATCACCCGGAAATTTGGCCGAAAATCTTCCATGTTTTTTGGAGGTCTTTCCTTCTTGATTGGCTCCATCCTTAATGGTGTTGCCAATAGCATTGTGCTGCTCATCATTGGCCGTTTGCTGCTTGGTGTGGGTGTTGGATTTGCGAATCAGGTACTATCATAAACAGACAAATCATCTATATGAAAATGAATCAATTCAATGCAGTATTTGCTCAGTTTGATTGATTGATTGATTGAATGAATGGCTTTTTCTTACTGTTTTTTGGCGTGCAGTCTGTGCCAGTTTACCTTTCTGAAATGGCTCCAACCAAAATCAGAGGTGCTCTGAACATGGGCTTTCAAATGGCCATCACAATTGGCATTTTAGTGGCGAATCTTGTCAATGTCGGTACAGCCAAAATCGAAGGCGGATGGGGATGGAGAGTCTCACTGGCTCTCGCCGCAGTCCCCGCCGTGATGATGACCGTCGGAGCCATGTTCCTTCCCGATACTCCTAACTCCATTCTCGAAAGAGGATACAAAGAGAAGGCTAAGATTATGCTCCAGAAAGTTCGCGGTACTGAAAAAGTCGAAGAAGAGTTCAAAGACTTACTCCAGGCAAGTGAAGCGGCAAACGAAGTAGATCATCCGTGGAGCAACATAATGAAGCCACAATACAGACCTCAACTCGTGATGTGTGCTTTAATCCCCTTCTTCCAGCAACTCACCGGTATCAATGTTATCATGTTCTACGCTCCCGTTCTGTTCAAGACTCTCGGATTCGGCGACGACGCATCTCTAATCTCCGCCGTCATCAGTGGCGGCGTCAACGTCCTCGCAACCCTAGTTTCAATTTTCACAGTCGACAAATTCGGCCGAAGAATCCTCTTCCTCGAAGGCGGAGCACAGATGTTTGTCTGCCAAATCCTAGTCGGAAGTCTAATCGGCGTCAAATTCGGACTCAATGGAGAAGGAACCCTAACAAAATTCGACGCAAACCTGATTCTACTACTCGTGTGCGTATACGTCTCAGCATTCGCCTGGTCTTGGGGACCATTAGGTTGGTTGGTGCCTAGCGAAATCTGCCCGCTCGAAATCCGATCAGCAGGACAATCAATCAACGTAGCAGTGAACATGTTCTTCACCTTCATCATCGCTCAGGTTTTCTTGTCGATGCTTTGCCACATGAAATTCGGACTGTTCTACTTCTTCGCAGGGTTTGTAGTGATAATGACGGTGTTCATCTACTTCTTCTTGCCTGAGACGAAAAATGTGCCGATTGAAGAGATGAACAGAGTGTGGAAGGCGCACTGGTTCTGGAGCAAGTACATCCCCGATGAGGTGGTGATCGGCGGCCATATCGAGGACGAAAAGCACTGCGGAGGTGTATGAAGAAATGGATAAAACAAATGCGACAATGCGAACTGGAGAACCAAGCCTGCCTCACGTACTTCATCCATGTTTCTGTTTCTTGAGGCGCTTGTTTTTCTCCATGTACATTTCAACTTTATTCAAAAAATAAAAAAAAAAATCTCTTTCTAAAATCTCTCTCGTCTCTCTTTCTAAACCCTTCTTTTAAAACTAAATTAGAGGCTCGATCATGTTGGATGATAAAAGTCCCACATCGGTTAATTTAGGAAATGGTCATGGGTTTATAATCTAAGAATACACTCTGGAAAGTGGAAAGCCCAAAGCAAAGCCTCGAAGGTACGAAGGCAGTCAAAAATGACTAAGACTCCAAAGGAGTCGGCGTGCTTTGTTCGAGGGGAGGTGTTGGATGATGAAAGTCTCACATCGGTTAATTTAGGAAATGGTCATGGGTTTATAATCTAAGAATACACTCTGGAAAGCCCAAAGCAAAGCCATGAGAGCTTATGCTCAAAGTGGACAATATCATACCATTGTGGAGAGTCGTGTTCAGATCATACGTCGTTTACTTTTGGAAAGTGAATGCCATTGTGTCCATTCTTGAAAAATAAAACTCAATTAATAAATAAATAAATAAAATAATAAATAAGGGGTCATTTTCAATATTGGTTGAAATAAAACAGCTTCCGTAAAGGAAATAAAGTTTATAATATCTTGATTGTGACATTTTTTTTTTCTTTCTATAAATTCGATTTTTTTTATAAAAAAAATATTTGAAAAATCAAATTGCGAGACACGTGGCTAACTAATTATTAATGAAAATGGGACATCGTATCCAATGGTGACATCAACTTTGGTTTGGTAAGCTGAAATTGCATGAACCATCCCTAAACAACTATGATTTTTTTTATTAATTTTAAATTTTTAATTTAATTAATTAGTCCAATAAGTTCCAAAATTTTATTAATATTATTAAACTTTTAATTTAATCCATTTAATTTTTAAAATTAAAACTTTAAATTTTTATAAAATTAATAAAAATAGATATTTACATATAATTTGTTGATTTTCATGGAAGAAATGTGAATCTTCAATGAACAGACCCCCTTCTTATCACAAACTTCTACCCACTTTTCCTACGTGTATTTGTTTTTATTTTCATCTTTATATTTGGTCAAAAAGCAATACTTTTTAATTAAAAAAAATCATATAATTATTATTATTATTTTTTTTAAAATGAATTTCGAAATTTACCTTTTCTCCTAAAACAAATTTACAGTTTCATTTTGTTAAAATTAGAGAGGTAAATGTATTAATAGATTTATCACGGGAGTGAACAAAATCTATTAGATATGAATTTGGACGGTTACATGAAATATCTAGTAGAGAAAACATTATTCTAATATCACATATTATATTTTTTTGGCCGAACCAAAATTAAATTGATACGATTACTTTGCTTTAAAACGCATAATATTATATCATTGTGAAAGTATACTAAGTTATTTAAAATATCTCATTGGTTGTTGCTTTTTAGAGAAAAAAAACGATGAATAACTAATTAAAGGTGTTTGGAGACTACAGCTACCTAATTTTAAGTTTTTTTTTTTAATATATAGATTAAATGATGGTTAAACTGCCAATTTGAACCGATTAAAATATAATATTATGATAAAAAAAATCAATAATTTTACAGTATATTATTCACTCGAGCATAGTTGATCGAGTGAGTTGACATGTTTTTTTTATTTTAAGGAATAATTTTTTAAAATATTAATAACATGAATAGGCATGATAGATGACACCAAATGCTAACTCAATTTAAGTCTAAAAGCATACAAGGTTTGTTTGGTAGGCCAAATTCTCAGAATTTGTTGAATGTGTGTCATAATTATGTGACCTAAATTGTAAAAAATGTGAAAATAATATTTCTTTTTATTAAATTTGAAATGCAATAAATTTTAATAAAATATAGTTTTTTTTTTTTTTTTTTTTTTTTTTTTTTTTTTTTTTTTTTTTTTTTTTTTTTTTTTTTTTTTTTTTTTTT